TTTTTTTTTTTTTTTTTTTTTTTTTTTTTTTTTTTTTTTTTTTTTTTTTTTGGCAAGACACAGATCAATTTAACAAGATGAAAATGACTTAGACTTTCACTCAAGGTAAAATCTGCACTTTATAACCCAGGATGTAATTTACAATCCTGTCATTAAACTCTGTTAATCCTATTATTATGAAGATAAATAATTACCCATAGCGAAGAAAGGGATTCCCAACAGAGTAGAATTATATTTTCCATCAGTAATGAAAAATATCCCTGCCGCAGTGACACTGGAAATACAGATAGTGAGTACTCCCAGGAGTCCCAGGAAAGGTTTGCTACGCAGGCAGTCCTTCATGGAGCTCGAGAGGGTAGCAGTCAGGAGAATCAACATCAGGCTCACCAAAACCTTGCCCCTGGCCAAGAGACTGGTCTGGTGGAAGTCCTTCCAGAGGCTAAAGGATGCTAGAGAGTAGAGCTGAAGATCTTGGTGATCCAGTTGCATCTTGTGCATCAGTTTACAGAATTCACTCTCCCACTTCTCCCCAATGAGGTCCTGGGTGACAGAGCCATACGTTTGGAGGTAGTAAGTAATTTGGATGGCTCTGGCTGATTTGACTCTCTGGTCCTTGCTGTTTGGCACTTCCATGACCCCTCCAAGCTGGTGGCCAATAAAACTGCTCCTTCCATCCTGGGAGAGAAAGCAAAAGAGATGAGCATGTGGTTATCCTGCATATGATGTGATACAGTGGCAGTGTTTGACTCTGCCTTCCTCTCACAGACACTGCCAGAGCTCCACTCAAAGGCCACTGCACTGAGCAGGAGCTGTGCCATGCACTTCAGTGGGCTTTGGGATCTATCCCTGCTCCTTGAAACAAGTCTGTCTTACTCATTACAGACTCATTTGCACTTCTGTGCTGCAGTCACAGGTATTCCCAGATGTTCAGGGAACAGAACCTGGAATGCAAGCTCCTTGCCCCATTCCACATTTAACTCTGATGGACAAATTGCCGATTACTGTGAAAAGTTTGAGATGAAGATCAATTTTTGGAAAATTTGTGATTTCTTGACACTTTGGAAATGGTTCTTAAAAGTTGGAAAGGTAC